CTAGGTCCATGAGGTCCTGAGGGACTCCCGCATCCCGCAGGGTGTTGAGCAGGTCTGTCCTGCTCACCATGTCAAAGGCCTGTGACAAGTCCAGGGCAAAACAGATACCACCTACCAGCTGGGGGCGAGTTCGCCCCGAGTGAAGCTGATGCCTGGTACGTCGGGCCTCCTGGCAGTTGCTGCGTACCTGAGTGACATGTCCAACGACCCTGCTCAAGGCATCGGAAAGACCACGTTGGTAGGCACATTGTGGGAGACCCCGGAGATAGTCAGCCGTGTAGGGAGACAGCTGGTCTCTACAAGCCCCCGCCAAGCCTTTGCCATCCGGCCGAATGATGCCGAGTGGACGAAGGTTGCCAGGCTTCGTAGCCGGCTTGTTAGGCTTGGGAATAAAACACAAGTCAGCATCCTTTAGAGGCGGCTGGAGAACCTCAGCAGCCGGCAATGGGCGTTGCCCCCGAGATTGCAGCGTTGCTGCTAGCGCCGCTCCCGCATCTACCGAGCACAGCCGCCAGGCAGCCGCCGGAGCCGAACCCTGCGGGACCGCCTTGTGCGGTCTAATGGAGCCGATGTGCTTGGCCAGCAGACCAGCCGGGATTTCCGGTAGCGATCCCACTTGGTGTTCGAGGGGAGGATGTCTGGCAAGGACCTGTTCCACGTGTTCGCGAAGCAGACGAAGCTCAGAGTGAGAATCCAAAAGCATGCCATCCGGTCCCTGAAGCTGGGCCTTGATTCGCGGCTCCCATGGTCGGAGCTTCTTTAGGGTCTTATGCGCGATGTACGAATCGTGTCTGGCACACGCCTCATCCACCTCTGCCTGAAAAGCTCGGTAACGTTCCTTCTTGGCTGGGTAGAGAGCCTGCTTATGCCAGCGACTCAGGTCCTCCAAAGACTGATCCAGGTCGGATAAAGTTTAAAGTGGTGATGGAGTCCTCATGCAAGGAGCGGATGTGAGCGACTCTGTTCCACATGCGCAACGTCGCACGATGCTGAGCAGTTTCCGGAGCTTGCTGTGGCCGAGGCTTGGGAAAGAACAAAGCAGAGGCCTCCAGCAGCACCTGATTGACTTCATCAGGCGTGTGATTCCTAAAGGACAGACGCTGGCCCACCCAGTCCTGCATGCGGCCGGCTATCGGCAGAACTGAACGGACAGCCGTCTCTAGAGCTTCCTTATGGAAGGTCAGGGGGGGGCAAGTGGGCTTAGTGGCAAATTCCAGTGCTGAATGGGTCGGAGATCAGCCAAGACGGGAAGGTGGCCGCCTCGCTTCCACCTGCCGAGCTGAAGATCCTTGCATGGCCCAGACTGTTTTGCCGGACCCTTGGCCGAAGCCTCGGAGGTTAGCAAAAAGTCAATTTGCGAGCCCCGTCCATTCAAGAAGAAGGTGTGACCAGCGCCACAGGACCAAGTGTTAAGAGCTACCAACCGATGGGAGGAAACCAAAGCCTGGAACGGCTCATCCTGCATTTGAGCATGCTCCTTCCTTGTGCTACACTGGCTCACCAGACCCTCCTGCGGAGTCAAACGAGCGTTAAAATCGCCTGCCAAGAGAAAGGTATCCCTCGCCGGGATTGCCCGGATCGCTGCTGACAGATCGCGGAGCAAGTGTGAGCGGTCTTCCTTGTTCTGCTGAGGAGACTTCTTAGAAGACCACGCATGTTGATAGACCGCAAAGACATGCTCGCGGGCCCCAAGCCACGGGAAAATGACCTGAATGAGCCTGCCGCGGCGTTGCTCTCGCCACCTAATCCGTTTCTTGTCTATCTGAGGAGAAAGGAGAACCATGACACCGTCCGCTCGACTTGTGTCATGAACACCTGGCTGCGTGGCAGCGCCTTGCTTGGAGCGTTGCCCGGGAGCAGTTTTAGCTTTGGGTGCCCGGGCAGCCCCTTTTGTGGCGGAGCCCACGCAGTGCCAACCCTCAACATCAAACTCTGCTGTTTCACTCCAGTGAGTTTCCTGCAAGACCAGAATGTCGCAGACATACTTGGCCTCCGTGCGAAGCCACGTCTTCACTTCTGCCCATTGTTGCATGCCAAGGTGCCCAACGTTCCAGGAGAGAACACGAAGAGATTTGCTGGCACGACCGCCTCTCGGGCGCGAGCGGAAACTGGCGGAGGGACCTGAAGGACCTGAAGGAGAAATCGTGGAGCCAGACAGCACGGGGAGGGGAGGAGGGGAGGGCGGGGTGAGTCCACTGCGGCGCAAATGTTCGGGCGTCAACGTACCATTCCGGTACGGGATGCTGTCTTGTGTTCTATGTACCTTATTGCAAGCCTTGCGAAAGGCCTTCTTGCGAATGCTCTCAAAAGAATGCTGGTGCATTGGCGATTGCGCCGTCCGCTAGTTTCGCCGGAAAGAGAGAACTCAATCCGACTCCCTTCACCCTGCGGAAAGGTGAAAACCACTACCGCTTACCTCATGCCAAGGTTGTATAACTGCAGACAGAGGCCCGGGAATTGGGACCCGGCAGATCACAGCGGCACGCGGCTCCGGGAATAGCTATGGCTCAGAAAGAGGACAGTCCCTTAAGCTTCGCAGAAGGGGGACGTTGCGAGCCTCTAGCGTTGGTACCCAGAGCCTTGTTAGCAAAGCTACACAACCCTGCTGTGATCCGTAGCGGCTACAACATTTTCATTCACACGCAGCGGGGGAGGACTGTCTGTGGTGAAACTTATCGTCCACGCTTTGCGAGGGATCGACCTAGTGCCCTGCTTTCTACTTGCGCGGTCACTCTTCACGGCAAGCCGTGCAAGCTGTGAAGTGGGAAGCGAATGTGTCTTCAGAGTCTTATGCGGCATCGGTGGCCTGTTGTGGAGAGGGGTCCCCTGAGGGAGGATCTCCACTCTTGGCCTTTGCTGCAGGGGGAGTATCTCCACCCTCGCTTTGCCCAGTGCTTCTCTTTTTGGAAGGAGGAGGAGGGGGAGTGACTCCACCCGAGGGGAGAAGCTCCACCTGATGTTCTCCTACTGTTTAAAAACCCCTGGGGAGAAACTCCACCAGCTGTACACACATGGCAAGGGGAGAAACTCCTCCGATTGTTGGGGAGAGTCTCCTCCTAAGGGAGCATCTCCGCAAGGCTCGCTGGAAGAGCTCTTGCAGAGACATTACTCGGGAGATTGGCTACGTCCTGGGGCTCGTGAGAGACGGCGCTGCGAGCTAGGAAGATGACGTAGCTATTTTCTTGAAGCAGGGGATCTTCGAGGGTACAGGGACTAGGGGGGTGGGAGTCATCACCAACATACCAGGCATCTGCTGTACGTACAGCTGCACGGTAATGGCCACTAGTGGACTCCATTCCTAGGTGAATGATCACTGCCTCTACTGTGTAGGTACAGAACGAAACTCGGGATGTGTGGTCCAGGAAGACAGGGATCTGGACTTGCTGTGGGATTGTGATGCGAGTGTGATCCTTAGCTTCACCTGCGAATCTCGGCAAGGCTAAGCACACCTGCTGTGCAGCTTCTATGAGAGCACATGAGCGCTCCTGAGACGACCATGCCACTAGCATGTCCTGTAAGTTGGTCTTGATCGCCGTGGCAAGATGAATGGGAGAGCCCCCTTCTTCGTCCACTATCACGCCTTCCGGTACTGAGGCTCTAGTTTCCCACTGTCCAAATCTTGATGCAGAGAGATTCCGTGGAAGAGCGTGATCCAAGCTTACCTCATCCAGAAAGTGGACCTTTTACTTGGCCATGCCGCTTCATTCAAGGGAAAACGCATCAACATGTCCCATTTCGTTGAGGCTGTCGATAACGCGGCGATCCGCTCGTCCAGTGGGTTGGGTCCAACTGTTTGCATTAACTCCTTACTCCAGTGGCCGCGGCTGCGTTGGATTGGCCCAAGTGGTCCTGTTCGTTCGATCTCTTGCAGTGGCAAGAGAAATGGGACTGGGTAGCGTTTGAGCAGCATCGTCGACTGTTCATGACTTTGCGAACGTCGCCTACGGCAGATTCTGGTTTTTCGCGAGCAACTGCTTGCTGCGCGTCAAGGGCTTGTGGACTGGCTATACGGTGGTACATGGAGCTCGGAACTGATCGGCGCATGGAGACTCTCGACAGACACTGTGCATGGGAGTCCTGTTTCTCCAGAGGCTCACGCGGGCCCCCGAATCGTATACTGATAGGCCATGCTACTGACCTGCACTTCAGAGTGGGAGGTGCTGTTACCGCCCAGGTGCTCATGGCTAAGGCTTCAGGCGAAGTCTCGGATGATCACTGGTCCTTGCTTGCACCAGACCTCAAGGCCTGTCCGTAGATGGATGATGCAGCACCAAACATACTTCAATGGTGCTCCAGCTGAGTACCGCGCTGGTCCCGTATGGACAGGCGAGATACAGGATTGCCGGCGCCAGTTCATAGCCTCAGAAAGCAAAGCAGCTTCTCACAGGTCTGTCATGGCCTCAAGTAGCTGAGCAAGCTAATTGCTTGCGCGCGACTGCAAGCATACTGAGTCCTTATGTGTGGGATTATGGAAGTTAGCTGTTTTATTAGAGAAAACACGGGCCCGGATTCCAACGCACCCTTTATAAGTACAGGTATAGTTGTAGGTATGTGTATATGCGCGCATAGGATGGACGATGGATGACGGACGGACGGAGGGATGGATGGATGGATGGATGTGCGCACACACACACACACACACTCTCTCTTCTCCTTGCAATGTTCGCCCACCAATTGCTGCAGTGTATCTTACGGAGTTCTGCACAGCATTGAACCAACTGTTTTCTTTTGGGGCGGGGATGATCAAGGAGCAATGCCAGCGAGCACTGGCCCGACGGAGCATCCTTGAGTCGACCTTGGAGGCTTCATTGGGACTCGAGAAAGGGAGAGCTCGTTGGAGCTTTTCGAGTGGAAACAGCCCACAGGACTTGAAATGCTCGCACAGCAACTTCGCCAGCACGAGCCGCGAGGTCATTGAACTGCAAAGAGACAAGGTCCGACGCTGGGTCTGGGCTTACGGCCTACGTGAATGTGGAGCGTTCTGAGCCTTCCAGGCGGTTATGGACAAAGAGCGGGTTCGGATGGAGAGGAGGATATCCGGATACCCTTCCGGGCCCTTCCCTCTTGGAAAGCCCTCAACTGATTCATGCACTTTGCTTCTACGTGAAGGATCACGATCTTGGATGAGAAAATTGGGAGCCTGCAGAAGGAGGCTGTCGTACTTTCATTTGCATCTTTCTCCTCTTGCCAGCTTCGCAGCCATCGCAATTTGCAGGCGGAAGACATTCGTTTACGTGCTTCTGTGGCTTTGCTGCAGAGACAACATTTCCGCAAGCCACGTGTGGCGTGATCTGGCTGAAAGGTGGTCATGGGTGTAATGCCGGAGCAGGCAGCATCATGCGGAGATGCAGAGGCCTCATGTCGATGCAGGAAGTCGTCTCATGGCCGCCGTTTGCCCACCGGACCCATGACAACCGCCGCACTGCGCCATGCTGAGGTCTGGCAGCTCCAGGAGCTGGCTTTCTCAAAGCTGGTTTTTGGCACGCATGCAATCAATCAATTCAATCTCTCCGGGGTCTCGGAGATATCGTTAGTTTCAATCGCCGTGCAAGTGCTTTTGTTCGGCAATCGCTTCGCATCGCATTATGTTGTGCGTCCACTGAGTTGGTCGCGGTATAACAAAGCAGGTTCCAAACTCTCCAGTCAAAACCGTTACGAGTGTGAGCACATGGCGGCCGATGAGATCCAGCACAGAAGATGCGGGTGATGCTAGGCCTCGGCAATTGCTAAAGGATCCATCTGCAGCTGACCCTTCGTATCATATCCATCATCAGCCACTTCAACAGCACCGTTCATGACTCTCAGGATGCACTACCGAAGCATGCCGTCGCCAGTGCTTCCTGCGGTTCTCCATATTTAGCTCTCGCATTCTCCGTTGAGAGCTCTGGAGGACGCACTACAGCAGAAGCAGCTGCAGGAGCTGGGATGCAAGTTAAATACATGTTTCAAGCACAAGGCCGATGCAGAAAAGCGAACAATACCGTTTCACCGTTTTTCAGTTCTCGGCAACTTACCTACACATGCAACTGTCGAGCTACCGGTGCCATACCGGTACACCCTCAGAATGCATATGGTAGAGCTGTTAACTGCTAACAACAGCCCGACGCACCTTGCTTGAGCGAAGCGCAGCAGTGGGAGGTGCAGGAGTTGCGTCGCAAGCTAACACGTGCGGAGCGTGAAGAGGAGACCGATGGGGATGGATGGGGTTTGTGCTGTCAGCAAGCAGAGTAGACCAGTTGCGTCTATTTAATTTGCATGTTTTGAATCGCACTGCCTTGCCGCCGTGCGCAAGGAGGAATCCCGTCTGGCTCTGGAGACGGCCAAGGCAAGTCCAAAGGTTGACAGTGAAAGGACATGGCAGAGTCTCGAAGCTGGACTTGCGAATGTGCATTTCTGAGACTCATAGACTCATAGTAGCTGGTAACAGCTATAGCAGTATAGAGAAGCACATCCTACGATATGCAGTATGCATTTCTATCCAGAACGATAGACTGATCTTCGAAATCGAAGAAGGTCGCTTCTGCGTCAGAGAGTTGAAAACCTAATGTTATTTCGGGCTTGCTATTGACATGCCAACGCCCCAAGGCTTCCTGCTATGTGAGATGCGATGCGTGATCTGAGTCACTGAAATAGTTTGTTTGGTTTTGTTTGACAGGAGGAGCTATGCGTCATGCCAGACTGTGCATCTTTGCGTCAAGGCTAGATGTGTTTCCCTTTGGGAGAAGGTTGATGCTTCGATCCTGGAGCGCAAGATCCGGCAGTTGAGAAGCAGATCTGCGCATGTGCAGGCAGGCGCCGATGCACTAGTTGGATCGCCTGCTATAAAAAGTCAGGCCATTCCCACTGGTATCGCACATCATGAAGAAAGCAGCTCGAGCTCACTGACCTCTCACTGGCCTTTGCAGCATGTCAGGCTGAACTGTTTTGTGTTGTAGATCGCTGCACGGCTGACCAGGCCTGACATTTTCACCCGTGAGAGGCAGCTTGAGACAGCTTTGTCCCGTGCTGAAGTGGTGTGGCAAGGGCTTCAAGCAGAATCAGGAGGATTAGGCCGGTGACTGAAGATCAGGACGATTCATCTTCGTCGCTACAAGTAGAGAGGATGTGGAGGATCCGGGGCCCAAAGATGTCTCAGCTTCGAAGGACATTGGCCGGCACTGACACAATGTCTATGCCGAGCTAAGCAGGGATCATCGCAGCTCAAAGTGGTCGCCCAACACGGGCGACCGTAGCTCGTTGAAACAACAACATGCGCATTTGCATAGAAAATGGCTAAACACTCTACTCCTCATAGACGAGAATAGTTTGGAGTCTTGGACAGCATGGACACGGAGCTGTTGACCGCGCTTCTTGACAAGAGGTATCTGCCCTGCCAGAGTTGTCTTCATGCTCAGCTGCTCTCACAACCTCCTTGGGGCAAGTTATTCGCTTGATTTCTGACATGGCATGACCCAACATGTCCTGAATCGTATCTGCATGCCAATTCAGCCCAACTGCAAGCTCAAAACAAAAAATGTAGGAGTTTTTGCGCTTGCGATAGAACGATGGATTGGCAGCGATGGAAAAGCTCAGGGCTGCCCGCGCTGCTAGTTCTGGTCCAAGCATGTCGGTATTGAGAAGTGGGAGAGCCTGTCCAGGCTTGTCTATTCCTCCCGAGGCGCTTCCTTCCATGCTTTGGCTTGCAGCATGCTGCAATGTGCTGCAGGCAGGGGTATTCTGCGAGCTTTCGCGAGAACCTGTGGGTCGACATGGTTAAGTAAAGATTCTGCCAGGTGCTCTGCTTGATCCTTTGGGCTGCGGGACTTCGGAAGGATTGGGCACTTTGACAGCTTCCATGCAACCGCTGGAGAAAACACCTGGTCACACCTTTGCATTTGTCTCCAGGAGTACACCCAAGCAATACGTTTCATCGTCGAGGTCATGCACAGGTGCGCTGTAGAAGGGTGTTGCGCCAACTGCACCTGAGCACACGCAACTACTTGACATCCCAGCCCTCCGGTCCCTTGCATCGAACTCTGCTTTCCATGAGATCGGGTAACTTCATGAGACAACGGCTGGGTCCAGTCAAGAACAGCTCTGCGAGACGCTCAAAACTTTCGCACCCCCAGCTCCCTTACTTCTCAAGAACCATTCCACCCGGCGATTCTGCCATCGAAGCTGAGCCCATTCCCTGGAATCAGGGTTGGGCATGCTTGCACACAGGCTTAGATTGCCTGATCCAATGTGCACATCCTTTCGATGCTGTCGATGCCGAACCACACTCTTTCTTCGTAGGCAGCATTCCCGGCCTGAACCAAGCCTCCGAGAAAGTGAACCACTTGCACGTCGCACTGGGTTCTTGGCTTTGCCACTTGCCAGAGCGCAAAGATAGACAGACTAGATTCGTCAAGCAATTTGCGAAGCGAAACCACAAGGTTCCAGAGTAGAGGTGGGTAAGAAGGCGGAGAAAGGGGAGGCGACGAAGTAAAACTTTTCGATGAACATCCCGTGTGTGTCCGGCAGACAAGCTGGTTTGCACCAGCAGCCCCAGGAAAGAAAATTACCATACAAGCACCGGTTGAGCCCGAACAGCGAACCTTCAATGCAAAGCTTGTTTTTCATGCATCAGCCAATTCCCGCCAAATTCCCGCAAGTTCAAGTGGAAACTCTTCATCATCACAACCGAATGTAGAAGGTTGCCCGCTTCAAAAACACCACAAGATGTTGACCTGCCCTGTTTGGCGAACATCCGAGTGCAACGTGCGCTCAGCACGTTTGCAGCTGCAATGTTGTGTACGATGCCATTGCTGATGATGCTGATCATAGAACCGATGAGGGTGCAAACACAAGCCCTGAACTTGTTCTGTTTCCCCTTACCTGGTAGTCCCATGCACGTAGCCTCTGATGCAAACAAGGAAGACGACGAAGGCGAACGCAACTATCAAAAAGGAGACATTGTACTAGTTTGGGATCCCTTTCGACCCTTCCCCTGTCCACGTTTCGTAGCGAGGAGTCATCCTGTTGTACTTGGCTGGTATGTGAGCGTGCTCAGCTTTTCCTGTGTTAGAGTCGCTGTTATGATCACCCTGCCTCTAAACAGGAACCGATACGGACCGCAAAATCATGTCAAAAGACTGCTTTTTGCAGGATGCATAGTTGACCCATTCAAGCTATGAGCCTCCCAATCCAGTGACTGTGACACCAGCAAGTACCGATCCAAGCGCCTAAGACCTAAGGAGGCCCTGCACAATCCAGCCTGGATGGTGGATGCAGTCGCCAACATTTGCTCTTCCAGCGTCCGAGATGAGCAACAGTTTGCTGCACGGAAGCAGGTGCAGAACATGTCAAGCCTGTGCAATGTGATGTCCTGTGCGCATCGCAACAAGTCGACGTTCGCATTCGTGGAGGGACCCAGGCCTCCAGATGCGAAGTGCAGCGAAGCATGGCGAACGGACAGAAGCACCGAGAGCTGAGGGATGATTTGATGTCAACCTCGGGGCTTCAATGTCAGTTTTTGTGCATGCGTGTGCGCGCATGCGAACATGGAAAGGCATGGGACGTGTCGGTGTCTAGAGTCATGCGGAGGTCACTGAATGTCAGCGACAACTGCAGTTGCTCTTTAGGTTCTGTAGATTTCAGATGGTGTGATCTAAGTTGGCATACATCATGCTAATCTGGCAGGCCTTTCCTGTTCTTGATGGAGTACTCTGGTAGTAGGCCAGTCCACGGCCAACGATCCGGTTTTGAGCATATCAGCGGCAAGTTAGGGTGACGGCAGAGCTTGAGAGCCTGTGCATTTCCAGTGCAGTCGGGAGAAGCTGCTTGCAGGGTATACATCTATGGCGAGGGCGACGTCAAGGTGCCTGCTGAACAGAAGCTGCCAACCTTGTGCCTGGCTACATCCACCAGAGAACACGAAAAGTGTCGGGCTACTTGAGGTGGATATCCTGCAGACTTTGGGTTACAATCAGGCCTGCTCTGCCAGTCCAATCGTTTGCTTACCACTAGTCACTAGACCCACCAGTGGCCCACCAGACATGTGTTCAGTCAACTTGTAGCCAGTCCATGATCTTCTCGAACCATCGCGGAGACCTCGACTGGCTGATCGGCCTGTTGGCCAGCACCGGCATGTGTTTGGCTGGGGCAGCGGATAGGATCCGGCATGCAGTACGCCTGCTATCGCCTGCTACTGGTTAACTTGCTTGTAACTTGTACTTTCCAGAAGAGCTGGGACGCGAGTTTCTGGAAGGGAGATCTGGGGGCGGAAGCCTTTGCTCTGACGTCCAACAGCCCTCAAACGTGTACACGACTCGCTTCCGCAGCTTTCAGCGCACGCAGCATGCTGGTGTCTGCACTCGAAGTGGCAAGGTCTGTCTGTTTGATCTGTGTGGACTCGAAATAGCCCGAATCGAGTTCATACCATGTTGGAACATGGATAAGTCTGCTTCGTGCAGCTGGCTTTCACCCTCCTGCACCGTCCAATAACGGCAACGCCACTTGCTAGAACTACTCTATTTTGGCTTTAACCGACTGCAGCGACAGGTTTAGGCACTTCGGCTGTTGGCTTCAGTCCTCAGCTGTATATAAAATGTCTGGCTGCGTCAGATCCGAATGTAGCAGACAAGCCGCCTTGCAGGTAGAGGACAATGGTGGCGGACTAGGCGGCATTTCGTTTCGATCGAGCAGTCTCTGGTGTTCCGCTCAGTGGCTCAGATGAGTAGACTCGAACGGCTGGACTGCGAACGAGACCACTTAGCACTTTGTTTTAGTTCAGTGGAGGCAGCCTCAGCAGCTGAGCAAAGAGGCAAGAAAACAAAAGCAGAGCCCGCAGGCGAACGTGAACAACGAAGGAACGAGCTAGCAGGGAAGGCGAAGGCATATGCGGGAGACAGGCACAATGATTGTGAGAACGACAGAAGTGATTGAATGAACGAACGAGGCAAAGACACAAGCATGATGCCGATGTAAGCCAAAAAAGCAAGCAACAACAGGAGTACAAACGAGGAATAATCGAATAATCATCAGGAGTGAGCCTACAGTGAATTCCTTGCAGGCTGCTGCAAGGCCATCGTGAAGCAGGAACTCGTTTTCCTGCCCCTCTTCGGCTTTGCCTGGCGGGACGAATGGAAGCATTGCGTACACTTACATCTGGCAGATGTCACTGCTGACATCAACAGTGTGAAAGTCCTGGCAGCCACAGGTGGTCAGCGGACTTCATTTGCATCAACAGGCATGCTGCAATGTCAGGGAGCTTATAGTATTCCCAGAGCGCAAGAACCTCCTCGGCACAGGAACTGGCAGTCCGACAGGCGAAAGCTAGATGCTGGTGCTTCGGTTGCAAGCGGTCAGCCTCGTTCAGTTTCGGGAGCTGCCAGTTGTAAGGTTACCAGCGTCAGCACGAGTACAGACAATGGGCCCAGCGCTCAGACCGATGCTTCAAAGATTTCTGCCTTTCGGCCGTGTGATGCCGTGTGCATGCAGGACATTCCCTACACCCTGACCATCTTTCCGGAAGGCACTCGGCTAACGCCGGAGAAGCTACGCGACAGCCAGGCTCGACATGCAGGGACTCTTTACCAAGTAAGCCAGGAGGATCGTGAAGGCACCTAGTTGATGCAGCATAATGTTTTGGTAATTCTAGTATAGTGCTACATTGAAAGCAATTGCGTCAATACAAGAATCTGCACTGCGAGGAGTTTTGCGCGTCCAAGGGCTATCCGAGGCACGGTCACGAGGGTAGCGATGTTGGTGACCTGGCATTTGTTTGTCCAGCCTGCCATGTTCACCGTACTTGCAGTGCAGCAGCCAAGAGGTGTTGGGCTTTCTCAAGTTCGGCCATTCGGCTTCTAAACTCAACATTGCGTATTTTTCCATAGAGTCTCCGTGCGGCTTGAGTCGCAAAATTGTAGTCGTGTTGCAATTGTAAGGGGCTCCACGGCTAAATGAATGTGAAACTAGCCAACGCACCAGCACAGATTGTTGGAGGCAAGACATGTAGACTTTGTTGCCGAATGCAGAGATGAGGTTGGAAAACAGTTTATGCCCACGCGCAAAGGGATTGTGGCAAGGGGCCCGGTCTTGACCGGCCATGCCCTTGGCATCTCAGGATCAGCCACCTTGATCTGCTAAGGAGTGCGGTTAACGGGATGCAGCTGGACTGCGAGCGTCCGACATGTTTGACCCGGACAGCGGACTCACTAGAGAGTGAACGTGGCGGTACAAGTATTTCTTCACAGGATCGTGAGTCTAGGTGCCCCGGCAGCATTTGCGAGTAGTGATAGATGGCGACCACGAATCGTGACAGGTATATGATATCACCGTGATTCAAAACGGGAATGGAAAGGCCGCGAACAACTTGATAGTCGGCTCTGCAACCACAGATGGACATGTGCATGGCGACATGCCATGATGAGTTGCACAGATGGCAGGCCAACATCCTGACGCTGGCCCAGGGCGTCCCAGCGGAGTTTCATGTGCGGGTCTTGTATAGCCGCTGCGAGTGGATGTAGCTTTTAATGCATACTTTCAGGCCAGGAGTCTCCAAATGCAACATAGCTTCACCTAAGCGACGTGTGAGATGCACCTTGACCTCGACCACAGCATCGCGCAGACACGCAGTCCAAGTTTAGCATGCAACTACTGCGCATATGTAACTGCATGCCACACAGTTGATAGTCTTTGGCTGTCTTTTCATTTTTGTGCGCAAGCGGGCCTGTACATGCATGTCGTTGGAGATTCGGAGCACTCTGGTATGTGGATGAGGTCTAGGATAAAGCGTTGAACACTTGAAAAAACACAAAAGCCTCACCGTCATAATGGGTGACGAAGCCTACACATGTGAGTGCTGCAACTGTTTTGTTCTTGTCCGAGTTATACTAAGTTGCCGAATTTGAACCAAGAGATAGTGCAGCTTCGTTATCTCCTTCCGTTAAAAAGTTCAAGGATATGAGTCACTATGCACTTACCCGGGCATTCAACTTAGCTGTCCGTCGTGTGTGGAACTACTTCACGATACAGTTCTGCGCTTCCGCTGTATTTGCTGCCAGATATGCATAAAGGTGAATGCAGACCAGGACACAGATTGTCCTTATCCGATTTTGTTACAAGCAAGTTATGTAGCGATACACTGGGCACCAGTAAATTGGCCTGCACACGCGCACTTACCAGTTTTGCTGGCGGCATACCTCTCGAGCGTGGTTTTGTGAAGCTGCTCACCACGGCCGAAGTCTAGTACCTAAAACGGCACCTTCCAAATCACGTGTTTCCAACATCATCCCATCCAGTTAGCTAGAGCATGAGAAAGGAACCATGTCGCTGTGTAGCTTCGCCGTGCACGAGCAGCATGAGTTGCCGCATCTTCCACGTTCTGGCGCGTTGCATAGTCTGACGGGTTGAAAGCTTCAAGCATGTAAGAGTTTACGCCATTACATTCGCTCATCACTTCGTCTTACCCTGTTTGGTTTCATCCCAGACGGTTGAGCATGTTGCCTTTAGCAACTTCATAGTCGAATGACAGAGCTGCTGTAGTTGTTGTGTACCCACGATCCTCAAGGACATGCACATAATAAACAAAAACAGCAAGGAATGCCTTAAACCTTCTCAGGTTCATGTCCAGAAGCTGGATCCGTCGGGCATTCCAGTTGAAGAGGAATAGACATCGCTGGCTTGCAGCTCTTGTGGCGCACTTTCCATCTGTCCTGTCAGGACGCTTTCCAGAAGTGGATTCTGGAACGATGGTTGAGAAAAGATGGGCAGCTTGCCAGGCCGGCAAGACAGAATCAAGCCTAGACGTGGTAGGATCCGAAGTCCGAACATGCTGGACACTACAACACACCCAGGGCTTGACCCCTCCGCCCCGACTGCATTTTATGTTGGCGTGCTATCCGGAAGCTTTGCGGAATCCAGAAGGAGAAGCGGGAGAGAGAGAGAGAGAGAGAGAGACAAAAAAGAGAGAGAGAGAGAGAAAACAACCCCTCATGCCCGGGAGAAGAAGAAGAGGGAGGGAGAGTGCAAGCGAGAGAGAGAGGTCGTGAACACTCGGAGCACCCACTTCTGCTAGCATACAGACCCCCAACACGGCGCGCTTAGCTTTTCTTTCTCTATACAGCAGAGCCCATCCTGACAAAATGTTGGATGGGGTTGCGCGAACACGCGGGCTGCAAGGACTGCTTGCAGCTCTTGCCCCTGAGCAAAGAAAATAGAGAGCAAAGCAAAGAGAGAGGCACAGAGAGAGAGAGAGAGAGAGTAGCCATTTTGGCTCAAGTGCTACACCTTTGCTTGGGGGCCTGTGCCGCCCCTGGGCATCGGGGGGAGGCAGGGGGTTAACCTGGACTGTAACTCCAGGGGAGCCTTCCTGCCTTTCCTGTGGTGCTTGAGCTTCATATCCGCAGCCGTGTGCTTAAGTGGCCCCGTCGTCCCTTCGCCCTGCCTGATCCCTGACCGCGGCCCCTTTCGAGGGTGGCCCGCCAGTAGGGGGGGAAGGCCATACTATTCCGCCGCGGAACACAAGGTGATCCTCCTGGCTTCTTGGGGGCTGTGACGGCCCATGACGGAGCAGTGTCGCTTGTGCAGACATGCAGGGGGCGTTGAAAGAGCGGTCGGGATGTCAAAGTCCGACGGGGGGAAGAGAAGCCACAGAGCAGCAGGACCACAAAGACCCACAAGTCCAGAACAACGGAGCGTGACACCCAACCTGTGGGGGAAGCCAACACAGCGACCGGGGGACAGAACCAGACCGACGAGACCAACGACCCTGAAGACCCTGCCGGGCAACTTAGTGCACCCGCAGCTAGGTACAAGCCTACATGGCCCAACGCAGGGGAGAGTCTTCATGAGCACCGAGTCGCACTGAGCCCTACGGAGGAGCCTGCGGAACAAAAAATTCGATGCAGTGCAGTTGTTGGGGGATTTAGGTTCCCTGACTCCCAGTTGTCCCGTTACAACACAAAGTAGACAACGGCAGACTCAGGTAGTGAACTCTTTAAATGGGCCACTGGCCCCACCCGTGGAAACCTTGAACTTCTCTGGCTTCGTTAAGCCCCGCGATCGAATCGCACAATCTAGGCTTCTTTTCAACACGACTTGAGCTCTAGGGAATTCGGAGGGGGGATGGAGGCATAATTCAACGCAAAGCGAATCCAAGCCGTTCGGTGATACCCGTTCGAAGTAACGGGGGTGCATGTTTTTCCTCCTCCCCTCCCCCACTGGCAGAAATTGAATGTGTTTACTCATACTCCTTGACGTGACTTCTGCCGGGGGATCTTTTCGGTGCTGTAAAGCCGAGCCCGTGGACGCAAATATCCACCGGGAACTGTGCCGAACCGCAAGTGCAGTCGAGCCTTCAGGGGAAAATCCCTTGAAAGGGTAAGACCTCCCGCGAGAAGCGGGTGTGCGCGCGCGCACGGGGTGATCGGCCTGGACGCTGCCGTGATCCCCAAGCCCGGAAGAGAGAGAGAGAGAGAGAGAGAGAGAGAGAGAGACAGAGAGATAGCCCAGCCAAACGCTGTGCAAGCAAGCAAGCAAGCAAGAGAGGTAGCCATTGTGGCTCTAGCCATTTTGGCTCAAGCGGTTCGAGCCCCCGCCGAGGTGCCCTCCAAAGCCCCTGTTCTCTTTCCTTTCCTGGGGGTAAACCGGGGCTTCTGCACTCTTCTTGCTTGCCCCTCTCTGGCCGCCTGACGCATTGCTGGACAAGGAGACGGCCACACGCACTTCTTGTCGGAGGTTCTGACCCGCGACTTGGTAAAACTCCCGTCCGGCAGCCGCTGCCGTGCTGACCCGTATGCCGTTTGTGACCTGCTCAGCCTGCTGCCTCAAGGATTTCGGCGAACCTACTCGAGGTCTACATGAGCAACTCGACCCACTCCGAGCCCTACCTCGAACGGGGACTACCTCATCGTCGTGTTCGTGATTTTGGCACGCAGATCGAGAATAGCAAGTTTGCCTACGCGATGGCCAACCCAACAGCATACAAGAAGCGCCCAGCTCCTGTGTGTCGCAGGTGCCGAGAGGGCCCATCATGGTGAGGACACCAACGCAGAGACCCCCAGTGCCAACTGTTTGGATGTTTCGCTACTGATCCGATCGGGATCCAGGGCTTCCTACGCGCCAAAGCTTTTGGACGCCGCTTGGAGAGATGCCATGAAGGCGCAACCCCTGCTGGATCGTGAAACTCGGCAGCCAGCAGGTGGCAACTCCAAAAGCTCGTTGTGTGAACGCTGCAAAGGGGGATCTTTCCATGGAGCGCACAACAGAAACGCACCATATTGCATCCTCTATGGGGCCAGCGGGACATCAGGCCCTGATGTCAGAAACCATGTGCTTGCACAGGACGTACGCCAGGTGCGAGAGGACACCCTTCGAGACATGCAGATGGAAATGCAAAAGCCACGAGATGAAGGCTTGCCTCGTCGAGCCCGAGTCCGCACCCTCCTCCCCTCCCCCCCGACCCCCCTTGAAGAGAACTAAGGTTTGCCGTGCCAAGCCCGACAAAGCCGGCTCCACCAGGACTGCTGCAAAGGAGCACACACACACACACACCATTTTCGACAACATGGACCCGGAGGACCCCTTGCATGACTCATTGCAGGAAATCCTTGACTATTCCCCCAGCTACGGAACAGGCAAGAACCTGCAAAACATACCCAAGGCAGCTTCGTCCTGGGGGCTTACCCCGGTGCGATCAATGGCCAGCCTGCCGTTTTTGGGGGACCACTCCTCAGCAAGCTGGTGCAGCTCCTGCCAGAAAGAAACCCCATTCAGAGCAAATGATGCTGGGGAAATAGCCCCAATGGCACCGGCCGACTCCAATGTCAATGCATCGATCAAGCCCTTTAACAGCGACGAGCTCTACTACCATGGCGAGCCTTGCCATGTGACGGAACTGCAACACACGACCAGCTCCGCGGAAGGAGTCGACATAACCGGGGGAGACCCCAACACTGCAGTCGGGGGGAGCAGTAACAACCGGCTAGCTGGAACACCAACAACACATGCCCTCTAAACTTCATTGTCCGCTTGCCCTGCATAGGCAGAAAGGTGACCGGCCAGGGAATTAATAATATACATGCGGTATTGTACAAGGCCCCAGAGAGGGGGCGAGGTTTCGGAGGCTCCAGCGGCCTGTCTGACTATGATACACATCGGCATAGCGGAGTAGTGGGGATTTTCCCCCATTCCAAGTTTCGCGAAGTTGAGCAAGTTGCTTGAGCAAGAGTGCGCAAGTGGAAAATTGGGGGTTGCCCCCGGCTGGGTGTTGAACGAAAGGAGAGAAAGACCCTTGTGTTAATTAAAGGTTGGAAAAACATGCAGGCCGGCGTTGCGACAGGGGCCCATTCACTGTTCCGAGCATCGAAAACTACCACATGAACACACAATTTGGAACCCCTCCCGTGGGCAACAACACCGAGGCATACTCGTCAGCAGCGAGACGGCCGCAGGTGAAGGCCTGTTTCGTGGTTTCCCCCATCGCATAAACTTCGCACTTGGTCATCATGGCGCTCAATGCTTGGCCCGCTTGTCATCTGGCGGCCATTCTCTTCGTCGTCGGTCGCGTCGCTGGCCAAGATACTCTTCTCTTGTTTGGCTGCCTTTCGGTACGCCTGCCACTTTGCTTCATCAGTCGCGTACTCATCCAGTCCATAGGGGGCTCGCTCTTGGGCGTCACGCTGCTGAAGTAGTTGGTGGAGACGAGCTTTTTGCTGTGCATTTAGAGCGGGTGGCTCTCTGGAAGGTGAGCGTGGGGCGTCGACGGCGACGGCAACATGAGCACTTTTGGGGGCATCATCCCCGTCTACATCCGAAGCTCGGCCAGGGTTCTCCCCTGGGTTTTGCGCTTCTTGGTCGGAGAGACCGTCGTCAAAGACGTCCACGACGGGGTGCGAGCCCCGATTTGTCACTTCTGTGTTGGAGTCCCGTGACTTCACTCTGTTTGCCGCTGTCGCTTTTTCACCTGGCTTCCCCAAAACATTTGGGAAGGCGCAGAGCGCCGGGGAGGAGGGTCGCTCCCTATCCCTCTGCCCTCGCGAAAGAAAGAAAGACAGAGAGAGCGAGAGAGAGTGCGACAGCGCGAGAGCGAGAGAGACATGGAGTGAGAGAGAGAGAGAGAGAGACAGAGACAGAAAGGCAGAGGGAGAGGGAGAGAGACAGAGAGACAGCTGTAAACCTTCTGGAAAAATCATCGGCAAAAGCCTGGGGCTGGCGCTTTGGTCTTGCATTGCAGACCGACCAGGTTTGCCAAGGATGGTCACTTGGGTGCAGACCAAGGACTTGTGGGGCGCAAGCCCCAGTACTTCTGTGAGCCGTCAAGACGATTAGCATTGTGAATAGTTCATCCAGAGAAGGTTGCCGGTATCAGCTTGAGAGAACTGTTGTGGGTAGACGCGACATTTCTCAAAGGGCTGCAAAAACGCCCTCTGTTTGCAGCTGAGTAAGTGATTGGAGCTTGGAAGGCGGCACCTTCTGTCGGTTTCTCCAGCTTGCGGGCAGACTGTAGTCGGCCAGCGCCCCAAGAGTCTGCACTCGGGATTTCTCGCTCACCTATCCACCAAGAACTAATCTGAGCAAGGGACTTCTCCGTGCATAGCCGAACCGAGTCGTGTCCACATCTTCCGGGCAACCAGTGGCACAGGGGTGGATGCGCACGATGAAGCTAGCAACGTTTGACGTTGTGATAGCAGATCACCCTTCAGCCGTAGCTGTCCGAGTTTCCCTCTCTCTTCTGCACGTTGATGCAGGATCTTGTAGCTGTGTCATGGCAGCGTCACATACTCTGGGCAAATCCGTCCAAGCACATGCAGTACACGATCAGGTTGTAACTTGATCATGCTGGGCATTCCGTCAGAGGTCACGGAGGCATTGAGGTATTCAGGTGAAATGAACGGAAACGTAAGCAGCTTGATGCAGACCTCGAAGCTTCGCTTTCCTTCAGAGTAGGGGGGTTTCGTGGGTAGTTCTGCACTGTGATACTTGTCCATAGAAGAAGTTCCTCCATGAACTCTGGCTATGCTTGTGAACCCAGCTATTCCACGGACGCTCATCGCGACGGTCGTGCTGCTAGGACAGGTGTGATTAGCAATTGTGCCGGCTGTCACGGGCGGCTACGTGGGCTCTTTTCAGGCTTGTGTCGACAAGTCACCCTGAAACCCAAACGCAGCAGGTGCGAATTGAGTAGCTCGCCTCTGGGTTTGTGCTGCCAGCGCTTGTATGTTGCCGGGAAGCGCGGCACTCTCTCTCTCTTTCTCTAGTTCTACATGGGGTGCCTTGAAGGTCCTGAGCAAGCTCTTCCCACCTCTAGTTACAGCACGACAGCTGCAACACTTTGACATACTTTGACGGAGCAGAAGACTTTCTTTCGACAGAGTCCGAAGCTGTCTGGGCAAGCCCGCGACGATCCAAGGTGCAATTGCGTGGTGGCTGCTGAGCACTGCTTGCTTCCTCTGTTTTTGCGCCGGGTTCTTGGCATTTTTTGCACGGCAAGATGCTTTGAGCTTAGAGCCTCCAAGGTTTTGTCCGGACGATATCGTCTTCTCGCTGGGGTTGGCCTCGGTGCTCACTTGTGAGTTCTTGCAAAAACTAAAACTGTAGCTCGAGAGGCATCTGCAAGGAAGTCAGCATAATCCGCAGCGCATTCTGGGTATGTTCGCAAGCTTGACGGTCTTTGCTTGCATCACGTGTCTCGAGGTACTCTCTTGTTTGTGGTGCTGACTGCAGTTGTCGTACATCAGGCCGACGCCATGGAGATTCTTTGCCTTGCATCGATGTTGATCGATCTACGCATCACCAGAAACCTTTGAATATGCACTCATGTGCCAGTCCGGGTGCGCATGCGTTAGTGTTGGTACCTCAGTTTAGTTTCCTTTCGATAGTAGACTATTGTAGTATGTATACAGACAAGAATATCGGTTCTTGTGTATAGATACATGTATATACACATTATACATACATACATACATTGCCATGCATACACACACACATAAACACACATACATGCATACATACATACATACAGACATACAGACATACAGACATACAGACATACACATGCATGCATGTGTGCGTGCATACGTATGTACGTATATATATATATATATATGTTTATATGTAGCTGTATATGCATATATGTATGCGTAATGTTGTATGTATGTACATATATGCATATATACATACATATATATACCATATAGCTTCCCCCCCCCCCCCCCCTCAAAGATCCGCGCGTTTTGGCTTTATTCGGAAGGAACCCCCCCAATATGAATCGCAATTTGTTCTTAGTCGGAAGGAACGCCCTCAAATATGATTCGCGCGTTTTGGCCTTATTCGGAAAGAGCCCCCTCAAATATAACTCAATTAATCCGAAACAACCCTTCCATTCCACAGCATTGCCGGATTACCATTCCACAGCATTGCCGGATTACCCTTGGTACCCACATCATTTACAATATCATGTATATGCAGTATGTGTAAACCCTTATGTATGTTTCTATGCATATGGTACACGGGTGATGGACATAAAGCGTAAACTTTCCGGGGGAGGAATATACGAATACAAACGAGCACGACTGCACTTCTGAAACGAAAAAGACAACGACAATGTGGTGTCTTGACACCGGGTGATCGGTGATGGAGACAAACGATGGCACAATGATCGTGACGTTAGGGTCTATTTAGCTAGTTTTTATATAGACAATATCAAACGCTTACCTACATGCTACATACCGGGCTTCTATGTGGTTTCTAGAGGGTGAAAAACCACATAGAGGGGAATCTATTAATTTTCATAAGGAATATATAAAAAATGTCTATGAAGGCTCCGTGCAAGGGATCTTTCAAAGTTTTCTATAAAGAACTCCATTTGTGGATCTATACGGGGCTTCTGTAAGTCTCTATATAAGGGATCTATAAAGTTTCTATAAGAATCTATAAAGGCTGTCTATGAGGGCTCCATATCAGGGATCTATAGGGAGCTCCCACAAGGCTCTACGATGGGGCTCTGCAATGCAAGGACTTCTGTAATGAAACCATATGGATTCTCCATACGGGATCTATACGGGATCTCTATAAGGTCTTTATAGGGAGTTCACAGGGCTTCTAAGGAGAATCTATAAGGGTTTTTTGGAACGGCTCCATATCAGAGCTCTATGAGGGTTTTCCATAAGGTCGTTATATATGGGATCTATATGGTTTCTAGGAGGAATCTGTAAGGGTTTTCAAAAACACCGTCCATACAAGGGATTCTTCAAGGTGTTTCATAAGGCCGCTGTTTTGGGAACCCACACGGTTCCGGAACAGAATCTGTAAGAGAGTTCTACAAGGGATCTATGAGGGGTTTCTCGAAGGTTTCTATACAGGGGATCTATAAGGTTTCTATATAAGGAATCTATGGTTTTTCTATACGGGCTCCATATGAGGTCTATATAAAGGATTTCTAGAAGGTCTTTATATAGGGAATCTGTAAGGTTTCTATAACGAGTCTACAAGGGTTTAGGATTCTCGACACGGTCTCTACACAGGGGATAGACAAATTTTCTAATAAGGAATATTTATCAGGGTTGTTGAGAAAGGAGGGGGGAGGTGGGGAGGCGAAAAGAGAGAAGGGGAGGGAAGGGGAGAGGGATGGGAAGGGGTGTTGCCGGCAACACATCGGGTATTGGATCTCGGATGCAGGCCTTAGCGCAGGTACAAACCGGTACAACCGGTACAACTTGTACCGGTCTTCTCCTGGAACCTTGGAAGGGTCCCCCGGTACAAACCGGTACAACCGGTACAAGTTGTACCGGGAGAATCCAAGATTCCAACATTCCAAGATTGCTGCGAACTCTTTCTCGGAATCTTGGATACCGGAGCCCATCCAGTTCCGGGATTCCGAAAAAGACCCCGCTGCAATCTTGGAATCTTGGAATCTTGGATTCCCCCGGTACAACTTGTACCGATTGTACCGGTTGTACCGGTTTGTACCGTGGCTAAGGGGCCAAGGCCTGTACCCACTATCTTTGGGGCGGAGTTCGCCCAACCATGTGTGTGTGTATGTGTTTGCTAAATGTTGTGGTATTCACGTAGGAAGACACACATACAGACGACATAAAGAACAAACAAACGGGGATAGAGCTCGAAACAGACAGAAAGCGTGGATCTTTGGGGGGGGGGGGGTACCATATATATATATATATATATATATATATATTTATCTAACTACATGTACACATGCATATATGCATATATTTATATGATATATATATATATATGTATATATATATATATATACACATACATATATATATATATATATATATATATATGATATATGTATGATATATGTATGATATATATATATATGTAGCTATGTACACACGCACACAGATTTGTGTGTATGTATGCATGCATGCATGGATGGACGGATGGATGGCTTGATGGATTTGTGTGTGGTGATTTGTTTGAGCAGCTCAGCATGACTTAAGTCTTTCATCCGGGTGAAGGGTTCGCAGCACGTTCTCTGCTCTGTTTCAAGTGTCAATCGCTGAGAATCTGAGGGAAGAAATTGATTGCCCTTGCAGGTGCACTTCACCCACTCTGCCAGGTCCTTGCCAGCGTCCAGCACCGTTTGTGCCGTAAGTTTTGAAAGTGGAGCTGTTCGAAACGCAGGTCTTACGTTGCAATGCAGACAAACATTTCCCGACAGACGCTGCAAGACTCAGGCCCAAGGCAAGAAGAGCAAGTGACCTTCGCGAGTTGTACCATCGCTCTCGCCTGATTCCTGGATGGTGAGCCTGTTGGAGAGGACTTGTCTTTAGCTGACGTGTGCGCAATGCGCTTCTTTCTGCATTGAACGTACCCAATTACTCTGCACATCGTACACGATTCATGTGGCAGATCTCTCTGAGTTTCTCCATCAAGCCGATTGCGTCAGGCTTTGAAAGCATGCATTCAAGTCTGGGTGTCCTTGTGAGGTTTACGGGTGACATTGATGACAGGTTGCATTCGGTTGCTGACGTGATGCTACCCGCTACCCGTCGGCTGCGATTCGGCACTCTTTCGGCCGCAACACGGCCAGCGTCTTGCTTTCGTGCGATTGCTTTGGAGTCTATGTGCGCGAAGAGCATGTCAGACTCTGCCCAGAAGGGCACCAGATAGAGGTTCTTGATTGTTTGGATCCAAGCAAGCAATATCTACAGTTGAAAAAGGCCATGAACCGAGGCAGGTGAAGCTTACCATCCGTTGTTTATTTGATCATCAAGAACCGGCGCCTCCGTCCGACACATGTTTTGCAGAGAAAGATGCTCGACGGGAATTGCTCAGCTTGGCATGGTGGCACTCTGCGTTGGACAAAGCTTTTGACTGTTGCCGCCATTGGCTGAGTGGTGTTGGTGAAACCCTCGCTGTGTTTGGCTCGGACATGTGATTCAAACCAAAGTTCGTCATTGTTTTTTGTTTGATACAATGTCCACGTTCAACCGTGCCAGCTCTAAGAGTGCCACACTGGCAGGCTTGATTGGCGAAAGGATTGCAAGACATTGCTTAGGTTTCATTCCCGAGTGATGGTTTGGGATCGGACGAGGGCTACCTCAAGCTGCAGCCGAAATACGTGTCACTTGTGTGTTTGTGTGTGTTTTATCAGCATCCTGATTCAGGCCGCAAAGTAGACCTGAATCAGACCATGTGGCTGCCGTTGCTTGCCACAGCGCTCGTCTGCAGCGCTCAGGACTTGTCGGGCCTTTGTGCATTGTGCATCTTGCTCACCATATCTTGAGATTGAGAGGATGCTGGCTACTATCATCAGTACAAAGACGCAGGTTCAAGCCACCAGGTCAGCAGCTCGAATGACGCTGGTAATTCTGGTAAAACGACGGCAGCATTCGTTTTCATCTGTTACTTCTAGCTAATTGCTCCAACGAAAACTACGGAACAAGTGTGAAAAAGGGCTAGGTCGCTCTTGTCGAATCCGCGTCAGATGCCTCATGCTTTCAAGTCATGGCTGCCGTCTAACTGGGCTCGCGCCACAGGCAGGCCGCGAAAATGCGGCCAACACGTTCCTTCCATTAAAGCCGGAGCGTTTTCGGTGTTCGGGGACCGATCCGATCCGCTCGAAGTGCTCAACTCTTCCAATGCAAGGCTTCAGCATCAGCTTTTCTTTCCATCTAAGCAAGATCCCTTGCTTGTTTGCCTGCGTGAGTTTCCGAGTGTCTGACGTGCTCAGGCCGGACTCTATGGCTACGGTCATCACGGCTTCCAGGTCTCGGGTTCGCATGGGAAGGGAGGAACTTGAATCTTCGAGCCACTCGTTCGGCCTCCAGCATCCAGCAACCGCCAATAATTGACCTGCACAAAAGCAACATGGCATCTTTTTGGAGGACGGGTATGCCCCATCGCCGCCGCAGGACTTGGGCATAGAAGGTCAAATTGCAGATGGGTGAGTGGGATTGAACGCGATGATCCGGATAGGTGCAGCAAACAGCTCAGCTCAGATTCCAGTCGTGTCTACCCCTCAATGCTAAACTGCACCGCCTCTCCACCGTCAGAGTCAACCGGGAGCCCCATCTTGCTGTGCCTCGCCTCGACTGTGGAAGCTAGATAGCTCAGTGGTGAGATAGCTAGCGACGATAATAGCACCCTAGGATGAAGACAAGACAGCGAAACTAGAAGCATCCACTCGGGTAGACGCAACGGGTTGTCTAGTCTGGAAGCTCTACCTTCATGCATGTGCACCGATCACGGTTTCAGCTGCAGAAGCTTGCTTCATTGAGTTTGCATTTGAAGCAACGTGAAGCATGTGGTAGTGCATGTGGTGCTTCTGGCAGCGATCATGCTCTGCTTCGCGGCTGTCATGACCGACGGTGCTGCTGATTGAGGTGGTAGAAGGTAGCACCGGGTGCAGGATCAGCCGAAGACGATGCAGCAAGCCTAAGCCTACTGCTACTCGTAGGACGAAAGTTTGACGTACTCGCGGCTTCATAGAACAGAGCCCCCCACTCCCCAACAAACAGGATCCACGGTACTCCTCCGAAACATTAAAGTAGTGTAGACCATTTAGTATCATTTAGCAACAGTGTATATAAATATCTCCGCAAGAGGTCTCAAGACAAGACAGGTCCAGTAGGTCAAAGTTTTTGTCCTCGCGACGTGTACCACTGGATCAGCACATTTTGAATTCTTGGCCATGGGTCTCAGCTGTGATCCGAGCGTGCGGAGCACTGTTGTTTCCATTCTTGCAATGGGTCTGTCGCTACTTGTACCCAGGGTGATTTTGCACTGGTTTTGACAGTCGAGCCCATTAGAAGGCCGTGGTGGTGACAGTAATGAGTGCCATGCACGCTGCGCCCCCATAAGAAGGAGAGAAAACACAAAAACACAATAGCGAAGAACATGAGATAATCAGGAATGGAACGTCTTCCCCAACAAACAAGAAGGCCTCAATTGGCCCTTCTTGCAAATTGGGTGGGGTTAGAGGTTCACAGAGGAAGAAGACAGCCGCGCGAAAACGCTTCAGGGCTGAAAGTGAAGACACATCTCTTAAGCCTCAAAGAATTAAGACGTAAAGAACTTCCTAAAGCCGTCCTTCCAACATGCAAGGCCTTACTTTCAAGAAAATCTTCTTTCTGTGCTTCTTGGTCATTTTGCTTCTGTTTCTCCTTCAGTTTTTAAACAGTGACGAAACGTTCTTGCTCCAGCTCATCAAGTTACTCTTCTTGGAGTTGTACTGTCCAACGTTTTCTGTTGTTTGATTCAGTCCATTTTCGTGTGCCATTGCATCTACTCTGATTTCGCTTCGCAAACGATTTTGTCACTGCAGAGGTATTTTGGCCGAATTTGCATTTGAAAATTGGCTGGAGGCTGCGCCCTTCAGACCGCTTACTTTCAAGAGTGAGCGTTTGCATCCTTTCCAAGTACAACGTCCGGTGTAGATGCCATTCTACGACCTAGCGTAGCAGATCATCAATTCTGGCACATGTCCATCTTTTTCAAACGCAGTTTTCGAAGACTGGTCTGGAGCGGAGCTCTGCTGCTCCAGAAAGTGGAAGCCTGAGTTTTGAACGGAAGAAAAAGACCGAGTCCGCTCTGGCTTGCCATTTGCCCAATTGCTTGCTTTGTTCATCACTGTCTTGTTTAGCAAGACTACACAGCAAAATTGAAACTATCCTTTTAGTAAATTCTATTTTGCTGGTTTATTCTCTTCTGCATCGGTACGGAGCCCACCCCACCTCGATTCATAAGAACGAAGCATGTCTATCATGCCTCTCTTGCTCTGCTAATTTTCGGGCGATTGTCACCAGTAAAGCCATCATCTTCAGCACAGGCAACATGCTTTGAAGGGCAAGAGATGTGGCTGCAGGACAGATATGGCGCATCGTCGTTTGAGGCCGGGCGTTTCGGGTCGTTCCGGAGCGCCACCCTGTTTTGCAAGTTTGGAGCGCGTGTGCAGTGGCGTAAACAGGACGGACATAATGCAGAACCACGTACGGGACAAGCTAGATCTTACCCCGAGAACCGGATGTAGGTCATCTTGCTGTGGATGAGAGAACAAACTAGCGGCTGTTAGATCTTGCCATGTCGTCTTGAATTGAGTTGAGCTGTGTCTGCAGGACAGATACAGCGTCTCTTCGTCGTCAAAGGACGGGTTGTTGCGGGGGCATGCTGGTCATTTGTGACTCCCTAGGCTCTTGGGACGTTCTTGAACGTTTGTCTTCACGAACCTTGTTGTCCAACAGCCGACCAGGGAGTCACAAATGACAGGTGGTTCAACGGCTGAAAATGAAGACCCTTCCAGGGTTTCGGTACATGCCAGCACATGCACCCGATTGTTTTGATCTTTGAAACGGAAAACCGGGAGTCACAAATGACTGTAGTCAGTTTGCCCGAATCTGCAATATTTCCTAGGCGCGGTGCTAATTTTTAAGAAATCCTAGTTTTCCCTCGGCGGGGTGCATTTTTTGGCTGAAAATGCAGTGTTTCCCAGGTGCGGTGCACTTTCGCATGAAAGTAGTGTTTTTCCCCTAGGAGGGGTGTATTTTTCGCACAACCAGATGCTTGCTTCCCATTCGTATGTATGTATGTATGTATGTATGTATGTGTTTATATATCTATCTATCTATCTATCTATATATATATATATTTTTTTTTTACGCCTCTAGTACTGCCTAACAAACCCGAAACAAGGAGTGAGTCCAGCAGGAACCGAAAACCGAAGACAAAAACCCTAAGGAGCGAATCCAGCAGGAACCTTGTGCCGAAGATGGGCCTTTCAGCGCAGAATTTGAGGAGTGAACCCAGCAGGAACCTTTTAGCGAAGACAAAAACACAAAAGAGCGAATCCAGCAGGAACCTTTCGCCGAAGATGAAACCCTGTTGGGCGAATCCACGAAAACCTTTCACCCAAGATGAAGACCCTAAGGAGTGAACCCAACGGGAACCTATTACCGAAGACCAAAAACCCTCAGGAGTGAATCCAGCATGAACCTTTTGCCGAAGATGACACCTTAAAGGGTGAATCCAAGAAGAACCTTTGACTCAAGACAAAGACCTAAGGAGTGAACCCAGCATGACCCAGCGCCGAAGACCAAAACCCTAAGAAGCGAATCCAGCATGAACCTTTTTCCGAAGTAGAAGCCCTAAGGGGTGAATCCAAGAAGAACCTTTCATCGAAGACGAAGGCCCTAAGGAGTGAACCCAGCAGGAACCTTTAGCCAGAGATGAAAACCTAAGGGGTGAATCCAAGAAGAACATT